ACTTAACTGTAAAACGTACAATTCACGCTGTATAATTCACAAACCAATGATACGCTCATGGCTGCAAGTACATTAGTGAGGACTGCAACGATGAGATGGAAGTTACGGTAAAGTGACAAAGACAGAAATATCGTTGCGTACAGCGTTGCCACTAGTTGTAATAAATATCTAACACTATACAGAAAATAATGAATTTTAACTGATCAGTAATCAGGAAATAATACCTTATAATCGTACTAGTATTGTGTAGTATCTATAATTTGCCACAACCTACAACTCTACTGCTTACTATATTTTGTTTCTGCTATAAACTGGTAATGTAAAATTTAGATATGACAACGCGCTTTACTCTCAATCATTATTGGTTTTACTATAGTATAGCTACAGTTCAATAGCATAACCACCACCTGTTGTTGAGGCTAAAGTATAAGTTTAATTTATTTTGTAGTAAACGAAATACCGTGAAATTTAATTGTTATAACTGAAATGCCACCACGTAATCTTCGATTAAAGATTGGTTCCCCTATTATTCTCCTACGTAATTTGAATCCACCTTGATTATGCAACGGTACGGGTTTGGTCATCAAAAAGATCACCGGAAATATTCTTGAAGCAACCATTTTAACTGGGAAGTGTAAAGGAAAAGTGGTCCTGTTGCCACGTATTCCAATGATATCGTCAGATTCCACCATACCCTTTAGAAGGCTACAGTTTCCAATTCGTTTAGCTTTTGTCATGTCTATAAATAAGTCTCAAGGCCAAACAATGTCCATTTGTGGTTAAGATTTGGAAAATCCATGTTTTTCTCACGGGCAACTGTATGTTTCATGTTAACCTGTAGGGAAACCGTCGAATCTATTTGTAATAGCTAAAGACAGGTTAACCAAAAGTATTGTGCACCGATTAGTGCTAAATTAAATTGAAATTAAAATTATGTATAATTAAAAATAATAACAGAACAGCTGCCAACTATGACTACCAGAAAAGGAATTACATTTCCCGAGGACATGGTCAAGGCCGAGCTTATGAGTGTCATTGAACAGCATCGTGACAGATATTGCCAGCATGTGGTGGATACAATAGCTCGTGCTGAAGGCATCACCATTTTGAGACTTGCTCCCTACCAATGCGAGTTAAACCCGATAGAATTAATCTGGGCTCAAATTAAGGGTTACGTAGCTCGTGAAAACGTGACATATAAAATTTCTGATGTCCAACATTTATTAGAACTCGCAATGGAACGGATACGGAAAGAAGATTGGGCTAATGCTGTAGCCCATGTGATCAAGGAAGAAGAGAAAATGTGGAGATTGGACGGGATGGTAGACACTGTTTTCGACCAAATACTAATAGATTTTGGTGTGACTGGGGATTCCTCTTCGGAAGAGTCAATGGATTCTGAAACTTCATAAGCATAACATAGTTAATTTTTTTTGCTTTGTAGTTCTCTTTCTATATAAAAGGAACATGATAACTATTTTGTAAATTTTTCTGTTTTTTTGAAGTTACTGTATTAGGCATAATAAGAAAATGTAATCAGTTTTACCATTGACAGCAGGTAACAACTTTCTAACCGTGTTGCAACTGATGTGAAACTGTAATATTTATAATACATATAAAGATAAGATGCGAAATAAAACAGTTGTCATCAAAAGATATACTCTGCAATAAAATATTAGTAAGCAATGATAATCAACGGGATAAATTATATCTAAGCAAGTTTATATAGATTCTGTTTGGGTTGAAATCATAGTCAATTAATATACTTCCTCCTCTCTTAAGTGGAAGATTAGGGTTGGTCTGGTTGGCTGGTCTGACCATCCATCTCTAAGTTGTCTTTTGAAGTTTTCTTATGTAGTTGTCTTCTTCGAAGATACTGGATCAAGTTTTAGGGATAACATGTTTTATAGTAACATGTCACCAAGATGTAGATGGTAAGACTAACCATTAAATAAATGATAACAATCATCCAAACAGGTAGTGATTGTTCAGGCATTGGCACTTGGGGTAAAATAACTTCATGATGGGTGCTCATAATATAATAGATAGATAGAGATTCACTTTATTGTCGAAGAAAATACAATCTTATTGACGAAGCTTNTCCAAATCTCCAGAAAACACTTCATCCTCTTGGGCTTATTGCGTTTATTCTCCCATCTTCTCATGACACCCATTCCATCAGTCTCGGTCTGAGGTAGTTAGTTTAAGCCGATTTCAGAACCACCCCCCACCACTTTTAACCTTGAAATGACCTCTACGTCACACGAAGTAGTCAAGGTGACTTTGAGTAGGTGTTATGAGTTTGACCTTGAACGACCTTGGTGACTTTGGCTTCGAATGAATTCGAGCCAGTTTTGCACCTACATGATTCAACGTAACCAAGGTGCCTTTGAACGATTGTATTGAGTTGGACATTGAACGACTCTGTCTTACGTCACACGATGCAGGCAACGTGACTTTGAGGTTTTGGGTTTTTCCTTGAACGACTTTCATTGATCCATGCGGCTTTTTTGAAGATTCTTTGAACGACTTTTTGGCAATATCATATGCCTTTGTAAATTTGGGGGGCGCTCATGTATTCTTCTTCCCTTCCCCACTTTTTGAGTGAGCATATTAACGAGGGGCCGCCCACTCACAGGAGTCAGTTCGATATCGCGCATATTGAATATTATTTAGAAGATTTGAGGATTCGACCTTGAATGGCCTTCCGCTGCTTTTGGACGGCATTCTGACAATGACCTCTATATACGTCACACTAAGTAGCCGAGGTGACTTTGATGTAGTGTTTTGGGTTCAATTTTGAATGACCGCTATTCACTCCAAATGTTTTCGATATGTTTTGAACCTATACGACACAGCGTACATTGAGAAGGCGTTTCATGTTTAACCTTGAACGACCTTGACCTGCGTAACACGACGACGCTGGCAAGGTGACTTTGAGGTAGTGTTTTGGGTTTGACATTCAATGACCTTCATTGTTTGATGCGACTATTTCGAATATTAAAGGATTCGACACTTAACGATCTGCAGCTACTTGAATTCCCTACAACTTTGGTTCACATCAATTTTTTCGTAATATCGGTATTCTTTTATTTAAATCCGAGAAAAAGATGAAGATGAAATTTTTAATGGACTCGAGCCGATTACGCGGCTTGAAGTTTTGAACTTATACGACACAACGTACCCAAGGTGACATTGAGCGAGGGCGTTTCGAGTTCAACCTTGAACGACCTTCATTCACTCCACATATTTTCGACAAGGTGACTTTGATCTCGAATGAGCTCGAGCCAGTTACGCGGCTTGAAGTTTTTAACCTACATGGTACAACGTACCCAAGGTGACATTGAGGATGCGTTTCGAGTTTAACCTTGAACGACCTTAACCTACATCACACGGCGACTCAGGCAAGGTGACTTTGAGGTAGTCTTTTGGGTTTGACATTGAATGACCTTCATTGTTTGATGCGACTATTTCGCAGATTCAAGGATTCAACATTGAACGATCTGTAGCTTCTTGAATTCCCTTTTAATTTTGGTCCACTTCAATTTTTTCGTAATACAGATATTTTTCGATTTAAACCCGAGAAAAAGAGGGGATATAATTTTATAATTGAAACAAAGTTGTCAATATTCGATTTTTTGGTATCGTATTGTATTGTATTATCACGTTTATTTTCGATTTTACGAGAAAAATTGTAATAAAGAAAGTTGTATAATATTGAATTTCCTACAATTTTGGCCCCTATAATTTTTCTAGTGGGATCGATATTTGGGTTTAACCTTGAATGTCCTTCATTTATTTTGGAGTTCGTTCCAAGTTTGACTTTGAGTGACCTTTTGCAATATCATATGACTTTGCTGAAGTGAGTCACGACGCAGGTACATATATAGATAGGAATGGGGATAGTGTGGAGCGCTACCACGACCACAGCCGAATCTTATAAAAGTCAAGTTGCCATTCTGAATCTCACACAGTACCTATATTAGAGCACATCAAGATGAATTCTGAAAAAAATGCCGCTGTATTAGCTAGGATATCACCTGATGATGAAAATAATTGGACGGATGATGAGTCATTGAATGGGGGTGAAATGGCCCCCAACATTGAGGGAATTGTGGAAGAGGAAGTTGATATTATTGGAGACGAGGCAGATATTGAAGTCGACGAAGATGCTCATGTCTTGGAGCATGAGGGGATTGTAGAAGGGGATATCGTGAATGATTAGGGTGACCTAAATGATGAAGGTATTGTGGCTAATTCATCTGAAGATGATGGTGCCTTAATGATCGGCGTCCGATGGCTCAACGTCACCGACACATTGGAAGATCGACTGGATCTGTATTGTGTGACAGATTCGCACGTACGAATGAGAATGATCGATGGCGGTATCCAAAAGTTATGTTGGTGCTATTTTCGATTTTACTCGCTACGAAACAATAACGGCAGCTGGTATCATCAACATATAAACATTCATGATACTGTATCTAAAATGCAAATGGGTCAGAATTGGTGTGAGGCGTGTGAGAGGCCACTCACAAGAGTGTCAGCTTGCATAATATGCAATAGTGTCAAAGCCCTT